GGGCATCGAAAAAGTGCGCCGACATCATAGAGAAAGGGGCATCGAAGGAACGCCGACATCGAAAAGTGCGCCGACAACCAAAAGGGCGCCGAAATCCAGAAGGAGCGTCGAACACTGAAGGAGCGCCGAAAACCAAAGAAGCGCCGAGAACCACAGGGGCGCCGCAAACCAAAGAGGCACCGAAAACTAGAGGGGCGCGTTCCGAAAAGCAAAGGGGCGCCGAACACTCAAGGGACGCACAAACCCACAAAGATCGCCGAAAACCAACGAAGCTGCGTAAACCAACGATGCGCCGAAAACGAAAAAGGCGCGGAAAAAAACAAAGGGGCGCCAAACACCAGAAATGGGCGCCGAAACACCAAAGGAGCTCCGAAGACCAACCGAGCGCCAGAAACAGGAAGGGCAGAAAACCGAAGGGGCGCCGAGAACCAAACGGACGCCGAAAGCCAAAAGGGCGCGGAAAACCATAGAGGTGCCGAAAACCAAAGGTGCGCCGAAAACGAACGATGCGCTGAAACCCAACAGGGCGCCGGAAAACCAAAGGGGCACCGACAACCAAAATGGCGTCGAAACCCAAAGGGCGCCGAAAACTCAAAGGACGCCGAAAACCAAAAGGGTGCCGAAAACCATAGGAGCGCCGAAACCAAAAGGGCGCCGAAAACCCAAGATCGCCGAAAACCAAAAGGGCGCCGAAAGCCAAAGGGGTGCCGAAAACCGAAAGAGCGCCGAAAACCTAGAGGGCGCCGAGAACCAAATGAGCGCCGGGACCAAACAGGGCGCCGAAATCCAACGATGCGCCGAAAACGAAAGATGGCACAGAAAACCGAAACAAACACCGAGAACCAAAAGAGCACCGAAAACCGAAGAGACACCGACACCACACGTGCGCCGAGAACCAAAGGGGCGCCGAAAACCAAAGCGGCACCAGAAACCAAAGAGGGGCAGATAACCAAAGAGACGCTGAAAACAACAAGTACGCTGGAAACCAAAGGGGCGCCGAAATCCAAAGATGAACATTGGCTTCGAAGCCCCCCTTTCAGCCAGGGCCCCCCAGGTGGAAATGCCAACAGAGGAATGGGAGGTGGGGGTAGCTTTAGAAGCCCCTCCCCTTTTGAAAAGGGAGTCCGGGCTTACCCTGGGCCCCAAACGAAAAAGGGAGGGGGCGGGTAGCTTCCAAGCCCCCCCCCTCTAGCCAGGTACCCCCCAGCTGCAAAATCCAAACAAATTATACCAGAGGGAACTCCAATCCGTGGAATTCAATTTTTTTCGCAGGTGCCTCAATCTGCCTTCCCCCCGCCCGAATCGAATTCAATGTACGTTTTCATCGAGTCTAGTCATTAGATGTTCCTCTCTCTCTCTCTCTCTACATTTCTCTTTCTTTCTTTCTCTCTCTCTCTCTCCCTCTCTCTCTTGTTTCTCCTAGTTTTTTTGTATTTTTCCCAACCATCCTGTGGTGTTGGGTCCTCGTTTTTGGAAGACGGTCCCCGCGTTCCCTCCCTCCCTCCCTTCGTCCTTCCTCCTCCCCTCCTCCCTGCACTGCCCGCAGTCGTCACGCACACCCACTTCGGCCCACCAGTCACACTTTTCGTTCGCCCCAAAGGGAGCTCCAGCGAAGGCCCCAGTGCCACCGCCCGCACGCGTCACGCACACCCATTTCGGCCCACCCCTCACACGTTTCGTGGCCCCACACGGAGCTCCAGCGAAGGCCCCAGTTTCACGGCCCGCACGCGTCACGCACACCCATGTCGGCACACCCCTCGCACGTTTCTTGGCCCCTCAAGGAGCTCCACGGAAAGCCCCAGCGCCACCGCTCGCACGCGTAGCGCACACCCAATCCGGCCCACCCCTCACACGCTTCGTGGACCCACAGAGAGCTCCAGCGAAGGCCCCAACGCCACCGCCCGCATGCGTCACGCACACTCAATTCGGCACACCGCTCACACGTTTCGTGGCCCAATGTGGGGCTCCATTGAAAGCCCCAGCGCCACCGCCCGCACGCGTCACGCACACCCACTTCGGCACACCCCTCACACGCTTCGTGGCCCCATCGGGAGCTCCACCGAAGGCCCCCCAGCGCCACCGCCCGCATGCGTCACGCACACCCCTTTCGGCACACCCCTCACACGTTTCGTGGCCCGATAGGGAGCTCCAGCGAAGGCCCCAGTTTCACGGCCCGCACGCGTCACGCACACCCATTTCGTCACACCCCTCACGCGCTTCGTGGATCCATAGGGAGCTCTACCAAGGCCCCACTGCCACCGCCCGCATGCGCCAAGCACCTATTTCGGCACACCCCTCTCACGGTTTGTGGTCCCACAAGGAGCTCCACCGAAGGCCCCAATGCCACCGCCCGCATGCGTCATGCACACCCACTTCGGCACACCCCTCACACGTTTCGTGGCCCCATAGTGAGCTCTACCGAAGGCCCCGCTGCCACCGCCCGCATGCGTCACGCACGCCCAAGTCGGCACACCTCTCACACGTTTCGTGGCCCCATGGAGAGCCCCACCGAAAGCCCCAGCGCCACCGCCCGCATGCGTCACGCACACCCACTCCGGCACACCCCTCACACGTTTCGTGGCACCATCGGGAGCTCCACCGAAGGCCCCCCAGCGCCACCGCCCGCATGCCCCCACCTCGCCCATTTCGGCGCACTCACCACAAGCTTCGAGGCACCATAGCGAGCTCCACCGACTCGGCTCCAATGGCTGCGTTCGCATGCGCCCATCGCACCTATTTCGGCAGACCTCTCACGCGATTCGTGGCCCCACAGGGAATTCCATCGACAGCCTCAGAGGCTACTTTCGCATGCGCCCACTAGACTAATGTTGGCACACCCCTCACACGTTTCGTGGCCCTATAGGGAGCTCCTCCGAATGCGGTGCATACAACGACGGTGCTCACAACTGCATATGGCTTGGTCTTCCGCCAGGCTTTGTTTGTTTCTCTCTCTCTCTCTCTCGCGCTCTCTCTCTCTCTCTCTCTATATATATCTATATGTACATACATGAATATATTCACGTATAGGTGTGCTGTATTTTCTGTGCGCACGCACACATATATGTATACATATATACGTACCTACACGCATTTTCTCTTTGAGTATCTCTCTCTCTCTCTTTCTCTCCACTCCGCCTCTCGCATTAGTTATTCACCATCATTGTCTCTGTCTCTCTCTCTCTCTATTTGTATTGTTTTCGCTCTCTCTCTCTCTCTCTCTCCCTCTCTCCCTCTATACATATCATCGGAGGTGGGGGGGGGGAGGTTGCAGTGAAACGGAGACCCCCGCACTGGCAGATTGGTTTCGGATTCACGTGCCGGTCGCGCGCGCGCGGATCGTGCGATCGATCGTGAAATCAATAGTGAGATTGAAAGTGAAGTCGATTGAGTGAGATCGATAATGAGATCGATGCCAGGATCGATAGTGAGATCGGTAGTGAGATGGATACTGATATCGATTGAGTGGGATCGATAGTGAAATCGATCGCGAGGTCGATCGTGTGTTCGATAGTGGTATCAAGTGTGATATCGATTGAATGAGATCGACCGTGAGATCGATTGGAGTTTCATGGTGATATCGATCGATATCGAGAGTGGCATAGATGATGTCATCGATAGTAAGACCGATAGTGAGAGCGATCGTGAGATCGATCGTGAGATCATTCGGGAGATCGATCGTGAGATCGATTCCGAGATCGATGGTGATATGAATGGTGTGATCGACAGTGAGAAGGATAAAGGGATCGATCGTGATATCGAGACTGAGATCGGAGTCAGATCGACAGTGAGGCAGGTTGACTGAGATGGATGGTGAGGTCGATACTGACATCGGTAGAGAGATCGACCGGGAACCCGGGACCCAAACATTGGAACCCCGGGAACCCCGCCGCCCACCGAACCCCGCCGCATCGGCCCGGAACCAGAATACGGGAGTCGGGGAACCCGGAGCCAAGAACCCGGGAACCCGGCCGCCGACCCAAATCGGCCCGGCACTTTCGCCAAATCTTTCAATATCTGCTAGGACCCCTACGGTGCAAGCATCGATTGGGGAACAAAAGGAGGGAGGGACAGCTTCGGAAGCCCCCCCCTTTGGAAAGGAGAGCTCGGGCTGACCCCGGGATCCTAAAAACAGAGGGGGGTAGCTTCCAAGCCCCCCCGCTTTAGCGAGGGCCCCCCCCAGTAAAAGAATGCTCGCAAAAGTGGGGAGGAAGGTGGGTACCTTCGGAAGCCCCCCCTCCATGTTCCAAGGGAGGGGGACGGGGGTAGCTTGAAGCTTGGGCCCCCCTGTTAGTAAAGAGTGCTCCACGGGCGTGCTATTTCACATACATCTCTCTCCCTCTCTCTCTCCCTCTCTCTCTCTTTCTCTTCTCTCTATGCCATGTCAGCCTGCGCCGCCGGGCAGGTATGGAAGTCCCAGTTGCCATACGGCCCTTCGACGAACCCCATGCTGTATGCATTCGCGCTCACAGCTCATGCGGGTATATTTACCTACGCACACGTTCACGTGGAACTGCTGGTACTGCGAAGCGAGCTTGAACACTCTGGAGGAGCTGTGCGCCACCAGGTGAGATCAAGCCTGGCCACATTCTTTATCTCCTGGCCCTTGGAACAATAGGGAGAAGCTGTTCAATACAACTGGTGCGCGGACTTGGGCGCTTTGTTTCATGCCCCAACACTCTCAGGACACATCCAGCGCGGATCCCGTCTCCGACACGTCAGCTGGCGGGGTGTCTGGGAGAAGGATGGCGATTTCACAAACTGGTAGTGGATAAGGATAAGACGTCCGAAACAAATCCTACCGCATTTGCGCATTTACGGGTTCGCGTGCGCGCACACAGAAGCATGCCGCACGCCATATACCCGCACAATGCATACATACATGTGACGCGCGATTTCGTGTCGGGAAGGCGGGGGGCACGCGCATACAACAATACGTGTACATTGAGGAGGGATGAATAAGGTGCGTCCTGAGACATCGATTGGCCGCTAAGGCCGAGCGCTCGCCGTGATACTGCCTTCCGTCCTTGGAGAGGCAAAAGCAGAAATGGCAGCGACACACTCCTACAATCGAATTGCCAATGCGCTGATTGCGTACATGAACTTGCGATCATCCCTGTCTCTCTCTCTCTCTCTTTCCCTCTCGTTCCTTCTCTCCCTCTCTCTCTTGTTATTCCTGTCCCTCCTTGTCAAGTTATGTAGCAAGGTCCTGTGGGACATTATGGTTCCAAGCGGTAACGGCGCAAGGAGCAGGCCAATGCCTAACCCGAATCCGAAAGCATCGGAAAAAACACTCGACGCGCGAGCAAGATCATCCCTGAACTAGCTCGTTGTCTGCACTGTGTTCAGGGGAGTCCAAGGGGGGCTGGGGGAGTAGAAGGGGGCGGGAGGAGGATTGGGAAGGGGGAAATGCCTGTCAGCAATAGAGGCCTCCTAGATGAGGTAGGAGAAGATGGGGTCGAAAGATCGCGCCGCATAGCCGATGCATCGCCGATGCATCGGCGATGCATCAACGATGTATTGGCGATGTACCGGCGATGAAGGCGATGAAATGGCGCCGTCGGTGTGGAAAACATTGGGCCCCACATCGAGCCGCATCGCTGATGCATCGCCGATACATCGGCGATGCGGCAAGATCCTCCGACACCATGTGCTCCGACCCCATCTGGGAGGCCTAGAAGCAAGCAGGACGGACGGCGGGCTCAGATGTTGGACTGCTTCCCGCCCCAGGCGCCCCCGCCGAAACAGGGAAGACATGCACGGTTTCCCCCGGGGCCGCAGGCGACCCGAGGAGGAGGAGGAGGAAGCCTTGGCAGCTGTCTGGGGTTCGACTGCATACGAACCTATTGCTGCTGGCGCGTCAGATCGGCGAATCGACGGGTCGCCCACGGGACCCTTGGCTTTTTAGCCTCTCGGCCCGCTGCAGCGTGGGGCCTTCCCGAAAACAAAATTGTTATGAATACGGCAGGGGCTTAGGGCCTCTGGGCCAATCGCCCCTGACTCAGGCGGTGTCCCAGTGTAGCAGTCGTCCCGCCACCGCCTCCTCCCCGCTCCAAACGTCCCCACCACCCCCAAGTCCCTCTATCAAATGCTGCTGCACGCCTGTACTGAAGTCGCAGAACACAAGATCGACGCTGCCAGAGCTGGCACAACGCACAATGCACTCACTCACTCACTCACCGTACGCTTCTAGTGTGGCAGCAAATCTTGGCCACCCATAGTACACAACAACTCTCCCCTCAGTAGCGGCCCGTGTTGTTGTACCTGCACGGCTGGTCCTCGAAGCAGCACAGGCCGGGGCAGCAGGAGTCGTAGACGATGGGCAGGCCCGTGTTCGTGCCTTTCACGGCCTTGCACTCGGCGTCGTTCGTGGGCGTCGTCCTCACCCACCTTGTGCTGCGCCAAGGCTGCGGAATAGCAGCCCGTGTTGTTGTACCTGCACGGCTGGTCCTCGAAGCAGCACAGGCCGGGGCAACTGGAGTCGTAGACGATGGGCAGGCCCGTGTTGATATCCTTCACGGCCTTGCACTCGGCGTCGTTCGTGGGCGTCGTCCTCACGTTCTGCTGCGCCTTGGATGCGGAGTAGCAGCCCGTGTTGTTGTACCTGCACGGCTGGTCCTCGCAGCAGCACAGGCCGGGCAGCTGGAGTCGTAGACGATGGGCAAGCCCGTGTTGATGCCCTTCGCGGCCTTGCACTCGGCGTCGTTCGTGGGCGTCGTCCTCACCTTCGGGCACGCCAAGGCTGCGGAGTAGCAGCCCGTGTTGTTGTACCTGCACGGCTGGTCCTCGAAGCAGCACGGCTGGTCCTCGAAACAGCACAGGCCGGTTGCAGCTGGAGCCGTAGACGATGGGCAGGCCCGTGTTGATACCCTCCACGGCCTTGCACTCGGCGTCCCTCGGCGTTGAAGCGGGTGTGGCGCAGCAGGTGATGTAAGAGGAAACAAGAAAGTGGCATAAACTCGGCGGGGGTTCGGTAGCGGACTGCTGAGTGGGATTTCTCTGCGCCGCCCTGAGCGGCCCCGTTCCCGTCGAAGCGCCTTGTAATCCACACGTCAAAGATCTGTGCTGACTGTGGGTGGGGGTGGGCCGCTCGCGGGTGTCTGGGCCGTGGCGGCGGCTGAGGAGGAGGAGGAGGAGGAGGAGGAGGAGGAGGAGGAGGCGTAGGAGGAGAAAGGCGAGGAGGAGAAGGAGGAGGAGGAGGAGAGAGGAGGAGGACAGGTCGCCTAAGCCCTTCGGAGAAACCCACCAGAGCAGACAGAAGCAGGAAGAACGCGAGCGTGGGCAGCCCGGCAGGAAGCCAGGCCCTTGGGGCGGGCAGGCCGGGGAGTGCCGCAGGCAGGGCTGCGTGGGCCCGGGTCCATGCCTCATGCCTCGAGCAGGGCTCGCGTCGAGCACCGTGGCTTTTTTTGTTCGCTGTCGTCCTGCTTCCGCTGCCCCTCGTTGCCGCCGTCGCTCGGCCCCTTGCCGCGAGAAGCGAACTCAAGCCGGAACCGCGCCAGCCCTCGCCGAGGCGCCGCCTCCGGCTCGAGCCCCGGCCTCGAGGGCTCCCTCCGCGCGGATAGCCTCCCTTTTGGGAGGGCCCGCGGCGCAGGGGGGGGGGGACTCGAGGCTGGGGTACAGTCGGCCCATCCGAGAGGAGGAGGAGGAGGAGGAGGAGGAGGAGATGGAGGAAGAGGAGGAGGAGGAGGAGGAGGAGGAGGAGGAGGAAGAGGAGGGAAGAGGAGGAGGAGGAGGAGGAGGAGGAGGAGGAGGAGGAGGAGGAAGAGGACGAGGAGGAGGAGGTATCCTGTGTCCGCACGGAGCGACACCGGGTCAGGATGGGCCTGGGCGCACACGAGCGCCGCAAAATCCACGACGACGGGGTTCGAAGGCTGGCCGTTACCTTCGCGCTCCGTGCGGACACAGGCCATCATGACTGCAACTGGCTGGCTGTTACCTTCGCGCTCTGTGCGGACACAGGACACGCGAGAGGACACAGGACCCCTCCGAGGGCCGCATCGCCACAGGAGCGTGAGAGGGCACGTGTCGCGAGGCACAGGACACAAGGGCACCCTTGAGCTGGCAGGGTCAACCTACTCATCCGGGCAGCCTGTATGTTGTGGCCCGGGGTGTGGAGGCAAAGCCGAACCGATACCCCTTCTCCTGGGACCACTCCCAGGGGTGCGCCTTGACCGAGATCCAGAAGAACCTGGACACGGCGGAGAGGGCTCTCCAGGACGAGCGGCGGTAGCGTTCCTTCTCCTGCCCTGGGGGGAGGGCTGAGCGGGCGGCACCCCTTTCTCCCAGCGGCAGCCTCCCGCCCGATGACCCCACCCCCGCTCGACGATGACGTAAAACCATCTCGCTGCCACAGGGACGCTGAATCAGAAACGAAGGCTCTTGTCTGGCTGCGGCCAGTATCGGCTCCGAGTGACCGCGATAGGCTTTTAGAGCCCCGTAGCTGGAAACTACTTATCTTTTCGGCAACATGATTGACGGACTAGGGTTCCACAAATGATGGAACATCAGAATTTCTCCGCGGCACCCGCCGCGCAACAATGACGACGACGACGACGACAACGACGACGACGACGACGACTACGATTACGACTACGTCTACGGTACGACTACGGTTACGGCTACGACTACGAATAGTTAGCGACCACGACTACTACTACGACTACGACTACGAATACCACTGCGACTACGCAGGAGGAGGAGAAGTAAAGGGAGGAGGAGGAGGAGGAAAGGGAGGAGGAGGATGAGGGGCGAGTTCCTTTCCCGCCGAAAGACACAGGGGGGGCAATAATTGAAGACTTTCTCTCAAAAACCAAGCTCCCTCCCAAGCCCGAAAGGGCCATCGCCTCAGCGTCTTGACTTTGGATGGGGCCGGGTCTTCGCACCGTGCAGGTCAACGCATCGGCGGTGCCACGGGTGACGTCAGGATCGCTAAATTCGGGCCATGGATGGCGCCGCATCGCCGATGCCTCGGTGATCCGGCGCGATCCTCCGACCCCATCTGCTCGGGCCCCATCTGGGCGGATTGTGGAACCACCACTCCGAACACCGACTGCCGACCAGACGTCCACCCAAGAGGGTGTCTGGAGGCACCGTCCCCTAGCAGCTCCCCTGGGTCCTCCGTGCCGAAGAGCTCCGGATCGTAGGGCACCGTGGTGATCCTGAGGACAAGGCCGTGTCTCAACGGAGCGCCATCGGGGCGGGAGAGAGGAAGAGAGAGGGGGTGGGAAAGACACGCTTGGTGCGCCCACGCCACGCCTGACATCAGAACCCTCCCTCCCACAGCTTGCGAGGGAGTGGAGCCCCACCTGTTCGTAGAATTGGGTGCCGAAGAGGGCATGCATCCCGGAAGGGCCACCTAGTCACGAGACGTGGCAATCGCTGAAGCTGGAAGACCACCTGTGGGAAATCCGAAGGGTACTGATACCTCTATTCCCCGGGGCTCTCCTGGGGTGCGTTCTGACCAGGATGTCGAGGCGAAGCCAGCCGTGGCGGCGAGGAGCTCCCAGGAGGCCTCAAACAAGGGCAACTATCTTCGCGCTTCGCGCTGCCCGAAGCGCGAAGCGCGATGATCTTCGCGCTTTCGCGCCGCCCCCCCGACCCCTCCTCCCCTGGAACAGGATGACGGACTCGCGCCTCGCTCTGCATCGCCCAGACCGAGAAGCGCGACTGCCTTCGCTCCCTCGTGGTGGCCCTAGCAAACGGGCAAAAACGAAGCCAGGGCAGCCGTATCAGCACCTGTTTCCTCCGCAGTCCTTGCTGGTGCAGCAGGTGCGGCCAGCGCGGCGGCGAAAGCGTCGCTCCGCGGGACAGGGGGCTCCGGAGAGGGGGGCGAGGAGAACGGGGAGACTTGCCTTGAGGGGGCGGAAGAATTACTCCTGGCCCTTACGGGCCACTCTGCTTTTCTCTCGCTGCCTGCACGTCCTGTTCTGCACGCGCCGTCTGCCCAAGCCGTGCGCCGCTAAGCCGACCGGTCGGCCTCGCACGTCCTGTCTCACAGAACGCTTCAGCCTCGTCGCCCCGAGTCCGACAAAGGTAACACTTGCCTGGCGGGGCGCAGTCTGCATGCGCCTGCCAGGCCAGGAGGGATCGCGGGCCCGTGCGCTGATGCCCGACTTGCGGCTGGTCCAGCCGTCAAGTGGCCCTCGACCCGAGGACCCCCAACCATCGAGAGGACCCGGTCTGGTCGTTGGACCTCGCCCAGGCCCAGGAGCGCGTCGTCTTGGGCACTGTTGCTTAGGCCTGGACCGCCTCCCAGTTGCTGGAAGGATAACCTCTCCCCCCCCAGAGCATAGCTTCGCCTCTTGGACGCGTTGGCGACTCCTCATAGTCGTACGGTTGCCGCCTGGGCCTGGGCCCCAGCCTGCAGCCGTTGGGCACTCCTTAGCTCTCCCAGTGCAATGTTGGTCGCCTCTGCGGATCGGGCCTTAGACTCGGGGATGGGGACTGGAGATTAGCGTTAGGCGATACCGCGGAGTCCTCGCCTCTGTCCTTAGTCGCAGGGCCTGTGGTCTCGGCTGGAGGCCTCGGCCTCTCGCTTGCCTGCTGAGCTCAGGTCGGCCTCCTACAGGGGGATTTTAGGCGAAAAATGAAAGGCAGCAGCAAATATTCAAACATAGGCAACAATACTCAAAGCATCGTCCCCATGCGATTTTTCACCATTTTCGAATTTTCCTCCTGGAGAGGAGCGCGCCCGACTTAATGCTAAGCGGGTCGGCATCGTCCTCTCGGGGGTGGACAGGCCTCCCTTTAGCAGAACACTCTCCGGAGACAGCGACCGACAGAATCCGCTGGCGCAGGCCCGCAACAACTCCAGGCACGACGCCCTCTCGAGAATCGAAGAAGGGCGAATCGGCTGGGTACGGGGCAGCTTTTAATACATAGGAATTTAAAAATTATGGGATTTTATATGCATGATTAATGTATGAATGAATGTATGCATGAACTCATCGTTGTTCTTATACTAAATCCCTGCATTTTTAATTCATGATCCGCACGTGGAGCATGTATAAAAACGGCACTGTAGGGTGGGAGCTCTCGATCAAACTCCGATTCCGGCCACCCGAGGCTCCCTGGCACTGATGCAGAACAGACTGAACTCAGAATGGCGGAGACCGGCCTACTGGAGACGTGCCTTGGGCAGGTCCTGACCGAACTCCAATGTGCACAACCCTGGGGCGTTGGTCTCGGGATTGTGCGAGATGGTCACCTCTAGCGCGGGTTTGGTGGCGGCGAGCTTGGGGTAGATGGCCTTCAATACTTTGGCAGGCAAAATGTCGCAGTCATCCTTGGTCGTCATGCGAATATGTCCTGGAGGAGGCCTCGCTGGCCGTCCCGTCGGAGAGCCCAATGCCAGTGGCTGCTGCGCAATCTCAGCCGGTGTAACGAGCTGGGGTGGAGCAGTCCAACCCTCCCCGCACCCGTTCCAACCGAGACCGCTGAGCTTCTTCTGGTAGACCCACGGGCGACTCCTTGTCGCGCAAAAAGGCGCACTCTGGCTTGCTCTGGTCTGGTCCGCCGCGCGCGACATGGCATGGCACTCCTCGCGCGGACGAGCGCCGCGCTTCCGCTGCCTCTGGTATCCTCGGACCCAGGCGTCGGCTCCTGCCTGGCCGGGCCGGGCCGCAGTGGCAGGTCTGGGAGTGCATATCTCGGGCATCTGCTCACATGGACTGGGAGACCCCGCGGCAGCTAGATGCTACCGCGGACCACGGATGGGTGTGGACTCTGGATCTAGGCATCGAGGCACCCAAACGTTGCAGACTCCGTGAGGCATGCTAGATCCGTGGATCTGGCGCGAGGGCGCCAGATCCATGGGCCGGGAAGGTACCTCCCGACAGATTGCAGCCAGAGAGTTCTGCCGTGGCGACGGGCAGCGTCGATCGAGCACGAAAGCCAGCGGGACCCGCCGCCAGTCCACGCGCATTCATCCATGTGCTGTCGCTTCTTCGGCTATCTCGCCTGGCGAGGGGGGTCTGGAGGGTGAGGTGAAAAAGGAGGAGGAGGAAGAGGAGGAGGAGGAGGAGGGGGAGGAGGAGGAGGAGGGGGAGGAGGGGGAGGAGGAGGAGGAGGAGGAGGAGGAGGAGGAGGAGGAGGAGGAGGGGGAGTAGGAGGGATGTGTGGCCCTGACAGCCCTGCGGCCCCCAGAGGAGGTGAAAGGGTCCGGGGTGGCCCCGAGGGCATTCCAGCAGAGGAGCAGCGAACGCCCTCTTCGGGGTTTACCAGCCTCGAACGTATCCCTATCCCTAGGATTGGCACGCCAAAAGGCGATGACAATCTTCGGGATTCGCCCTCAAAAAAAAGGGAATCCCTAAGATTGGCATCGTGATGGAGAGGTGCCCAGCATAGGGATAGGGATATGTTCCAGGCTGGTCAGGGGTGCCTCCGGCCCTCCGGCAAGCCTGCAGGCAAGCACACGTCAGAGGCGGTGGCGGCGCAGCGGGCGAGCCATCCCCCCTGCAGGTGCCGCTCCCGCGCGTGCCCGGCTGCTTGCGGTGGCAGCTCGATGGAGCCTCCCATGCGGGCAAGATTTATATCCATATCCAGTGCGTCTTGAACTTTCTTGGAAGGGGCTCCGCAAGGCCGAGGCGCACTGGATATGGATAAAAATCGAGCCTTTTGGAGGCAGATTATAATCCATATCCAGTGCGCCTCATGTTTCTTGGGAAGAGTGGCCGAAACTCTAAGACGCACTGGATGTGGATAAAGACATTACCCGCATCCCAGGCCGTCTTGTTGGCTCCCGCGAGCCTCGGGCCGGGCGAAAGGGGGGCACATCAAAGGGGGGGGGTGAGAATCAGCTCACGTAGCTAGCTGATTTTCCCGGCGCCTCCCGGCGCCGGGAGGCTCCGATGTATCGAGGCATGGGCCCGGCGGCGGGGCCGAAACCAGCTGCCTGCAGCAGCTTTCGTACCCCCCCCCTTTCCCTATCCCCCCTTTCCTTCGGCCCGAGAACCGACGCTGATCAACGTGGGTCGACGCTACATCGACGGTAGCCGACGCGACGCTAAACCGGCGCTATCTCATCGATTACCAAGCGCAAATCGACGCGAGTGCACCCTGTAAGACATAATTAAAAGGATATACACGGCTCCCGTGATTCCTGGATATCTCCTTGGAGAGCTGAAAAAGGTTGTTCGAGAAGAAGCCGGCCGGCAGGGCTACGCCAGCTCCTCTCCGCAGCTCCCCGTCAGGCATCCCCGCAGCAGGCTGCTTGAGCTTGCCACGTGTTCTGGCAAGCGTTGTCCTAATCGTTCCCAGTGCGGGTGCCTGAAATCTCTCCGTGAAGCTTCTCCGCATCTCTTGCGCAGTCCTTGGCAGCTCCGTCCACGTGCTCGGAAGCGCTCCAGAAGGACCTTCGGAAGCCCTCGCCCTCTCCAGGTCCTGACAGATGGCTTCGCCAAGCCTTCCCGCGCTCCTTGGGCGCCCTGCTATCCAGGTTTGGGACTAGAACCACCCCGACAAGAGAAGCCGCTTACGAAACGCCCCCACTGAAGGAACCGAGCAGGGCAGGGCTGTTTCGTGAACGCCCAAGGCCGTTTTGTAAACGCCAATTGTCCGGTCCGGGTGGATTTTTCGGGAGCGGCCAAGAGGGGGGTGTCCAAGAGGGGGGGGGTGCAAATCATGACCGGCGGCATGTGCGCGGCCCGGCGGCGGGGCCAGGGACGTAATGAAATAGGAAGGGGCGCCATGACATCTGGGGAAATATCATGGCCCCCGCCGTGATATCCCCCCCCCCCTAGTCATCACCCCCCTCTTTTCCGCCCCCGATGTAAGCGCCAATTGTCCGTTCCGGGTGGATTTTCCTTCCCTGCTGCACCGCGCAGCTGGAAGCCCGGGCCTCCCTCGCGCGGACGCCGCCCCAGCTCTCTCCCACGGGCGCGGCCCCAGCTCCGGGAGCAAACCTCGGCGGTGGACAAACCTCCCTTTCTTAGTGAACCTCCCCTTCTAGTGCAAACGCCCTGGGACCCAAACCGGCGCACCTGGACCCGCAAAACTGACGGCCGCGACGCCCTCTCGCGAACCGACAACGGCCAACTCCTTACTCGACGTGTCGGGGCAGGGGGTCGATCCACCTCCGAAAGCCGCGACGGAAGCACAGCTGCTCGGCGGCCCGCCTCGGATCTCGGCGCCGGGGAGCCCCCAGTGGGCGGCGCCTCCGGCGCCGCCCCCTGGGCGGCGCCTCGCGCGCCATGGGGGCGGGGGTCCAGCGCCGACCCGAGAACTCCGCGGGGAGCTCCGAGATGTTGTGTCTATGCGCTCACAGTCGGGGCGCTGACCTATAAGGAGCCCGAAAGAAGGAACGAAGCCCCTTGTTCCCACAGGTTGAGCTTCGGTTCCCCACGGAAGCCCTTAGAAACACCGAGCCCCCCCCCAACGAGAAAAGGGTTCCTTCTTCAGCGCCCGGACTGTCTGCCACTGATTGCACCCCGAACGGGGGACCGTCGCGGCGCGGCTTCCACGAGGCGGCTTCCGCAAGGCCCTCCGCGAGGCCCGCTGCCCTGCGGAGGAGCAGGGTCGGGGTCGGCGCTTGCGGGCGCTGGTAGGGAGGAGCCCAGCGTAGGGAGTGCTTGTAGGGATGAGGAGGAGGAGGAGGAGGAGGAGGAGGAGGAGGAGGAGGAGGAGGAGGAGGAGGAGGAGGAGGAGGAGGAGGAGGAGGAGGAGGAGGAGGAGGAGAGGAGGAGGAGGAGGAGGAGGAGGAGGAGGAGGAGGAGGAAGAGGAGGAGGGAGGAGGAGGAGGAGGAGGAGGAGGAGGAGGAGGAGGAGGCCGTCGCGAGATGGTCACAGCGCGAGGAGGTCAGGGGTCTAGTAACAGACCCGCCCCAGGCGTCACATCTGCGCCGCCGTTGCGAGGCTCCTCGAGATGCCACCCCGAGACACGGCCACCGGCACCACCCCCACTTGGCCGCCGGCCTCAAGCAGCGGAGGCCCCGTTGCCCCCTTAAGTTCCCGCGCCCCCCACGTCGGGGGGCCCCTTCGAGTAACCCCATCGGGCCTTTCAGGGGT